GCGAGCAAGTCTTCTCCACAATTGACCAATCGTTGGTATCGACTGGGCAGTTGCTGGGGAGATAGAGGACAGTTCGGTACAAGTATTAAGAGTTGCTGAGGTTCTGCAGGATGGGTTGCAGAGAGATCAGTTAGTTTTGATAATGCTAAAGCATCAGCTCCAGATCTGACTGTTACGAGACGGGAGCAATCACGTCGGGTATGGAAAGTTTTGGAGACATTGTTGAAAGAGAAGATGTTGCCTGAGTAAGGAGCTGTAGGGGAGATCACGAAAAATCGGTCCCATTTAGCTGGGCTAAATAGAGTAGTTAAGATGTTTGTAGGGTTGGTGGTGTAGAAGGATGGGAAGCGGAGTGTTGTTGAGGGGGTAGTATTACGGAGAGATGGAGAATAAGGCTGTAAGGTAGTAATAAGGGAGGTTGGGGTGTTTGATGAAGAAGGTTGTAGGGGTAGAGTTGATGAATTTGAGGAAGTTGGGAGGGTAGGAATGTCTTCTGGAGATTGAGTCTCTGCTTGGTGGGTAATGCACTAGTAGGCATTGAGGAGTGGGTAGTAGTTTCAGTGTTCGGAGTCATGGTCAAAGGAAAGCCTGGGGTCGGGGAGCCGGTGGGGCTATTTGATGAAGGGGCAAGCCTCATTGCCCCTAATAGGGGTATTACATCTTCATTACTGGCCATGGGAAGCCTTGATTATGTAAAGGGAAATAAACAGTCCACCCCCCAGAGCCCTGTACGGTGGTAAGGGCTAGACAACTAAATTGGGAGTACCGTGCCCATGGTTCCCGCAGGCCGTTCAGGACTGGCACAAGGTCAGCCTTTCATCCTTTCAGCACGGCTCTTACACCTTAGGAAGTAGATAGTAGAAGGGATTGGAGAAGGGACGGAAACAAAAAGCTGGAGGGCGAATAGACCATGCAAAATTAGTTGAGTCGAGGGCTGAGGCCCTAGACGGGAAATCCCTGCATTGGGTCTCAGTCTCCATCTCCTAAGCCCCCCCACGACAACAACAGGCAAGGGATTGGGGGGGTTTTGCTTCAGAAAAGAGGATTTTTGGAAAAATAATACAAATTAAGTTTCTTTGTTACAAAACAAGATGTATTCTTTCCTTTGCCTTCAATACAATTAACAACAGGTTTGCAAGCTGCTAAAATGTGATAAAATAGATTATTTACATACCAAGAGTACAATTAAAATGAAAAATGTCAATTTAGTGGAGATAGTGATACTTAGAGGTGTCCCTATCTTTTTGATACATATGCGAAGTAGATGACGGTTCAGCCATCTACTCACTTGTAGATCAAAAATAAATGACTAGATGAAATGATCATGATTGGTGAAAAGCATAAAAACCAAAGAAATACTAAAACAGCATAACAGACTTCAATATCTCTTCCACTTTTGCACGTTAAAAAATCCTTGACTAGATAACTACTAATGGACTGCCTCCTGGAATATTTATACAAACTCAATGGTAAAAAAAAGAGTAATGACAATTAAAACTTAAAACTCTTACGAGATATGACACAAGATACAAGGACAAATGAAGACACAAAGTGATCACATTTTCAGTGTACGATCTAAAGTACTAAAGACTCTTAATTCATGAATGCAGAAAATCACGAAGACAAGCTACATATCTAATCAATCGTTTTGGTGTGCAACTCGCATAAGGAAAATCATCAAGAGTAAAGATCCTACACTGATCTCATTACAATCAGACAATCCTCTCTTGGGCAAATTCATCAACTTTTCTTCAATATTCCAGGACCTACCCTGGCAATAAATACGGCAGTATGAAGATTTGACAAAAAATCAACAAAGCTGGTTAAAATAGTTGTTACAGTATATCAATATCACAGATTTCTTTGGTAGGTCACCTACTTCATCCGACTGCAGATCAAATCCCTGCAGTCAAGGATGTTCAGTAATTGTCCAAACCAATGAAGAAAAAATATACAATAAAGTAAAATAACGTAAAGAAAGAAAAAAAAAATTAAATACAAAACTTTAAAGTGAGGTGTGTACTGAGGCTATAGATTCTCATGCCAATGTACGGTACATTTTTTGTTTTCTTTCTTTCGCCTTTCCAGGTCCCATGCTGATCTAGAAGAATGACAATGTAATACACATGGACGACCTCCAAAAAGAGAAAAACAAAAAGCGTTAAAATATTGAATATGGAAATCGAGAAAGAAAAGAATACTGTAGCATCAGTAAACAAGTCACTTGTTGTGCTTTGACAGGTGTAGCCTTTAAAATTCAGTTAGTTATCCCTTTGTGTCACTGATTATGCTATTTTAGTAAACCTTTACTTTTATCATTTAAATCTTCAATCTATTTCAAATAATCTGAATGTTGTGCTTGCAAACCACACTACTAATCAGTTAATTAGTACCACAATTTGCACGCAAGTTCTAGCATAACAAAGACCAATATATAACTAGTAAACTACCTGTAAAAATTCACCTCCAATATCACAATGTTATTTTTTAACATTTTGAGAAGAGCAAGCCTATTAAACTGGAAATGTCTCCCCAAAATGTTCACAAAGAAGCTGAAAATTCAGTAGGCAATACATAAATCATATATTTTTGACCTACAAGTTCCAGTGGATACCTATATCACTGCTGACTCAAACATATCCACAACATTCTGATGACCTGGTAGGTTTTCTTCCCTGGTAAACGCATTTGTATTACAATGGTGTGGGGTGTTTGCACAAGAGCAATTTTATTTTTATTTATATAAAGGGAAACTGGCCACTGAGACAAGCAAGCTTCTTCCACATGCTTAATCACGTTGCCAAATAGGTCAAGATTTAAGGTCTTGATAGTAATAACAACATCCTGAAGTACACAACTCCACGGTCAAAGTAAGGCAGCTTGCAAACTTGCCGAGCAATCCTGGCGCTCTCATTTTTTTTTTTGTTTATCCGTCTCCGCTTAGACTTTGAAGCGTCCATTTCCGGTGACCTCTTGTTCTCAATCTGCTATCCAACTTTCACGCAAATGGAATTACACCAAAATTCCAACGGATTTTCCACCACTTCAATACACAGAAAGAGCAGGCCATTACATGACTTCTCTTTCTGCCCTTTACCAAGTGTAACAAAAAACTTGTTCACACATAGTTCAGTACTCTTTTCACAATTCTATTTCTTTCCCATTTCACATTTTCTTCTCGCCACTTCAAAAAAATAAAGAACAGGGCTTGCATTCCAATACCAAATGCAGGCCAACTTAATCTTCGTGACAGCACAGCCGAATATCTTTTCTTTTCGTTCCATTTTCATCTTATACTTCTGAAAAGAGCGTCTATCATCGGCTGATTCAACAGGACACAAACACCAATCATGAACATCTTGCCATTCACAATACACAACGTTGTCCTCCGTGACTCTCAAACACCAGCAAATCTTTTTTTGTTCCCATGTTTCCCACTGTGCATGAATAACAAAAGGGTTTCCCAAAGCCCCAAAGAAAAGGGATTATCACTATCATTTCTCTCTCTCTTTTGTGTATTAAGACAACTGAAGGTGCATCCAAATGTTTTCCTCATTTCTATGGCATCTTGTGTAGCTATTTCTTCTTAGTGATATTATGAATTTACCTATATTACAACATAGTATAAATATTGGGCAATTTTTCTTTCCTAAATGAGAATTTCCGCAATTATATGTTCAATTGTCACGAGAAATAAACTGTTTTTTTGTTTGTTTTACTTTACTATTCTGAGTTCATCTCAAAATAGAATAAACCAAATATATTAAATTTGTGAAGTGAAAAAAAAGAAAAAACAACTATTCTGACAAAGCTGAGAATCTTCCTTTCATCACAGGAATTTGGTTAGCATTTTTCTTAATAAACAGTAAGTATTTCAACCTCTTTCCTCCTTCCATACAACTGGTCTACCTATAGAGAGAAAGCGCTACACGACGGTTCGATTTCCATCACGACTGAATACTAGGGCAGTGTATCCTTCAACATACATTCAAAAAGTCAGCTATTGGTGGCAATCTCACCTTCCCAGGGTCTGCCTGTGTTTGAACTGACTTTGAAAAGATTATCGGACTTTGAAATGCTTATTACGCTAACAGATGGGGATACGACGTCAAAAAAAATAATAATAAACAAAAAATAAATAAAAAAAATAAAAAAGGGTTTCTTAATATTACATTTTGAATCCCCCCTCCCTGAAACATCCCATGTCTTCATTTACCTAATAATAACAAGCATAAAAACAAATATGGGTAAAAAATAAATAAATTAGTAAATAAACAGCTAGTCAGTGAAACAGTCATTCCTGACCTAAAAAAAACATTATCCATTTCTTGCTCCATTGCTACTACGGGGTTCAAAGCACACACCACTCCCAGCTCAAAATACTTGCAATTGAAATAGACCCTTCCCTCCTCCATAACCCTACTCTGTTCTCTTTCATAAATATGGACGCAAAGAGCCTCAGCATTTCGCAGGTCTTGCTCAGACTGAAGGTTACCTAAGCAGGTGCAATTGAAAGAAAGAGAGACCTACAAAAGCTGTTACAGATTGTTTTCTAAAATGATGGTAATGGTAGTAATAATGATAATAACAGTAAAGAACAAGATGAAAAACTAATGGTAACAGATAATAAATAAGTACTATAAAAGATACTTAAAAGTATGAAATAAATTCTATAAACTTTCATCCCAATTAGAGACATTTTTATAACACTTACTGCAGGAGGTATAATAGTGAAGAATGTGGCTATTGCTGACCATAGTGTGATGGAAATTTATCCATCACAAAACAAAGCAAAAAAACTGAGTGGTTACAATAAATAAATGAACATAAATAAACCTTGAAGCTGAAATGGTGGTTGACATTGTAACACAAGATTCTGAGAGAAATAACCTCAAGTACTGTCTAGAAAGCAATGACTTTTGGGAGAGGCAACAGAAGAAAAAAAGAACTAACCCCAAGACTTTGGCAAGGAGACAAAAAGGTTTCTGGAAGAGGCAAGGAAAAAAGAAATAAAGAAGAAAAAAAAGATGTAGAACAAAAGAAAAAATAGAAGACAGTTTTCTTAAATTCTTTACAATTCTTAGGGCCCTATTCTTGGCTGTAAAGCTTTAAATCCGACAACTACACAGATATCATGCAGATGTCACACCTGACAACTGCTACAAAACCAATGAAATTACATTGAAGTTGATTTAGTAACCATCACTCTCCCCTTAACATTAAAAGCACTTCTATGCAGCCACATTGGATAAACTTCAGATACATCCTCCAGTGCGAGTATTTTCTCAAATGCCAATGAAGTTATTTCCCATTTATGCAGCCTAACAAGAGGGTGTGAATGCGGGCAAATAATAGCGCAAAAAGCTGAAGCACTGCACGAAACCTAATCAGATCAATGACTGATATAAAGGCATGTTTGTGAGTATTTATTACGTTATTAAACAGAGGCACTGAATATAGTGAAGCAAGAAAATTCACTGCAAACATAAGATAAAACGACCATCTTACAATCTTACTTTCCAAAAAGTATTTAAGAAATATTCAAAGCGAACAAAATTTATTTTTTTATTATTTCTTATGAACCACATGAACAATAAGAGCTGGCATTTTCTTGAATAATCCAAAAGCAACAACTATGATTTGTGTATATGTACGTATGTATATAAAATGCCTTCCTTACTTCGGTAGATTAAAACTAATTTGTCTCTGAGCGTTTGGGGATGAATTTCCCCCTCATGATCAACCCCCACCCCCCCAAAATGAAAATCAAAAATAAATAAAAATTAATAATAATAGATAAATAAAAATATATGCTTATATTTAAAGTCTCTGCCCACAACCCTCCCTGGCTGTTACAAATTACCATTCTTTCCTTTTTTTCTACAAGCTTTAACCTTCCATATAAAAAGAGTATGAGTGAGACTGTAAAAAAGAAAGAAAGAAAGAAAGAGAGAGTGAGTGAATGAGTGAAAGTGTGAGTGATTGATTGAGTGAGTTAAGTGTGAGTAATTGAGTGAATGAGAGAGTGAATGTGTGATTGTGTGTGAATGTGTGAGTGAGTGAGTGAGTGAGTGAGTGAGTGAATGAGTGAGTTGAGTGATCAACTGAATTGAGAAAGCACGAAAGAGAAAGGAAGAAATAGAGAAAAAATGGAAGCCCTAGAAAAAGCAAGAACAATAAAAAGAAAGAAACAAAGGATAGAAAGAGCGCCAGAAAGCAAGAGATCCACAAAGGCTGCCACCACCTGTGACCACATCCCGGCAGGCCCGCCCAAAGCAGACGTGGGAGCGCGGGAAGATGCCCAACAATCACACTTCCTTCACATACTCTTCCTAAGATTCAATTTGGATGCACTTTAATTTCTTTTCTTATCTTTTAACTTTAGGGCTTGGGTTAAATGCTATTGCTTGATTCCCTATTCAGTGCCCCCTCCCCTACTCCCCCCCTACCTAATATTCTGACATTCTTACTGTGGTTGGAAATCAGTTCTTTTATTGTGGAAGAATCAGAGAAAGAGAAAGAGATAGGGCAAGAGAGGTATAGCAAGTGTTTAAAATAAAAGAAAAAAAAATTTGACTTGTGTCTCAATATAAATTATCAAGTTGTGTTATCAAATTCACAAATTATATACCAGTGTATGGATCTGTTATATTCAACAACATTTTTTTACACATGTATAAAAATGTGAGGATACCAGTAAAGAATAAATGAGAGGAGTGGAGATGGAAAGAGGAAGACCAAGCAGAAACGGTTGAGGAAAAAATGAAAGACGACAAAGGACAGATAGAGGAAAAGATAAAAGGAAAAGAAAAAGATGGTGCATAAAGGCAACACCAATAGCATCACATCCCTGCACAGAGATGCTGCAGATGGGGCAGTGCGTTCAAGAGGAAGTCGGCAAGCACTTATCCGTCCGACAATGAATTTTTTTCTTATTCTTCACTTGATCTGCTGGTTTAGTCACAAGGAAGATTGAAAAACATATCTCAACTTTAAAAAAAAAAAGGGGCAAAAGTTCTTCCGTGGGACGTTATTGGTCTGTGTTGGTCTGTGTACATGGCACTTGCGCCAGTGATGGCACTGCGACCTTGCACTATGAATTCGAGGTGGAGTCCGAGGTGTGTCCATTGTCATAGGAGGTGTTGGAGTTTCCATTAACAACAAAAGATGTTCCTAAGCCGTACAAGTGGCCACAGTATTTTGCATCGTCAATCTTGTCCTCGAAGAACATCTGTGTAAAGGAGAGGAGTGTCACTTTGTTGCTTTCATGTTCAAATTGTTCAAATTCATGGAAACAAACACAGTTAATTATATCACTGATGACAATGGTAACTTATTGTATGTCACATATAAATATTAAAAAGTTCCAAAGAGGGAAAGACCAGTAATGGCTGTCATAAAAATAGCAAGTCTAAAATAGGGATTTAACAACAAGTACTATTTGAAACTTTACAATTGTATATCTTTATCATGAAAGTTTAAGAAATATGTGAACAATATTTGTACAGAATATTGGCCCTTAACATTCATGTTGGTTAAGCTCCTAAGCTCCTCATTTGTTTGCAGAATTTGTGAATGCTTGTAATATTAGGCTGACCTGTGGCTTTGATGTAATAGATCCATCATTCCCAAGACTATTTCACATGGCTGAATCACTATAACAGTATTTTTTATTTACAATAAACAAAAATATCATAAACCTTTTAAAGTTCATGAAAGTAATTATATACTTCATAGCACAGTTTGTATGTATACATGTGTGTATAATATAACAGTGCAATCATAAAAACTGGGATGTGAACCTCAAATCATTTTAAGAATCAAAATGAATCACATGAAGGTTTCAGTCACAGAGAAACCACCTTACTATTAACAAAGAAAAGCACAATTATATTATAAACAACATACATATGTAAGCATTTGACAATATTCCAAAATTCAGTGAAACACAAAACCAATGTTAAAGAGTGACATTAGCATACACAGACTAGCTCCCCACATGCAATAGAGAGTAGAGAATAAATTCGATAGCCAACTGTAATAGCTTTAAAAAACTTATTTACTAGCAAATAGTTTAATTATTTCATATTTGTACATCTTTTACTATTTTCCCACTATCATTCATTACTTACCAGTTTCAATAAGGTATTTTTAGCACTTTTAGCCTTTGATTAATTTATTCCAAAACATCTAAATATGCAATTAGACCAATTTCAAGAACAGAGGCTCAAAAGGTGTTCTTATTTGGCTAATTGTATATCTAAAGAAAATACATTGTCAATGGGTCACCACTAACAAAACTTTCTCTGAATCATCAAATGGCCTACACACAACACTATACACTAAAACAATCTAGCATCCTGCATTTCTTAACCCCTATGGTATAGATGATGTTGCGGTCCTGTCATGGAATAATCTGAGTTGAGGGCCAGGTGACGTGAACATGCCATCATTGAACAAGATGGCCGCAAGCTGGGTGGCATGAACTTGGTGTCATGAGTGAAGGCCAGGGTGATGGAAAAGACTCGCCATGAGTGCAGAAATCTCCTGAAGCGTGAATAGACTCATTTCGCACTTAGAAAAGGGCTTTAGCATTATTCCCATCAATAAATGAATGAAGAATGTAAGGTGCGTAAGCTTCGAATGGAAGAGCACTGACTCCAGGGAGGACGCCATTTCCATATTACACAAAATTGAAAATTACAAAAAAATTATTATGTGCAACACATAACCAAATGTTAAATTTTTTTTTTTCTTGTACTGAGTTATTTACTACAGAGAGAGATGATATGGAGTCTGTGCAAGGAAAATAAGCTATCACCATCTGAATATAGCAAATCAAAGACAAATATGGACATTGGAAAATAGCAAAAAAGCTAAAAAAAAAAAAAAATAAAAGTTCAAACAAAATAACTTCGCAAAGGGGAGGCATAGAGTCTTGTCATCACTCATGAGTGTTTGCACACACCTGGCCTATGCACAGCATACCTGGGATATAGGCCACTTACGTAACCCACTGCCTGTATTTTCAGCACTGTGATTTCCGTAACGCAACTGGATCCAATAGGTTAATATATCTTCATCCCATTCCATAAAATCAACAGAGTAAAAATATCAACATACCTCTTTCATCTTGAAAAACGCAGCACCTGTGAGAAGAGAATCTGAACCCGCCTGATGCTGTGGCCCCACACGCTCCAGCTCTAACTGCTCAGCCACCTCCTGCAGGCCTCCCTTGAGATTTTTACAGGACTTCATCAGGTACTGCAAGGGAAATAAAAAAGTACTTCATCCATTGCTCTTTAAGCTTAGAGCTATGAGATGTGCCAAGAAAAGATGCTGGGACATCAGGGCATTGCTAAGAGGGGAAAACATTCGTTAAGTTTAATTAGGTCTCACTCTGCCAGCAACTCATCTAAGCCAGTGTCCTATGTCGGAGGTCACCAACCCAAAGTCTAGCACATTAATAGTTCCTTATTATATATTACTGTGTCTAAGCTGTAAAGGTATGTTTGGTTCTGACTACAGCATATGTAAGCAAAGGTGCACAAAAAAGGGTGAAATTTAAAAACCAGGACAAAGTTTTCCAGGTGTCAATATAAATTTCAAAATTAATTCACTGCCTGGCTCAATCTGAAATCACATGATAAACTACTTGCTCTTTGATTTTGACAGTAGCAGATTCTTACTGATCCAAAAGGAGAAAGCAGAACAAAGAACTTCAAAAGTCTTCCTGGATCAGTGACCACATAGGCCAATATTCTGACTTCAGGTGGTAAGCTACCTATGAAAGATCTGTCACCAAGGGTATCTGCAGTTTCCGGCTTCACGAAACTGAACTTACCACCACGATACCAACATAAGTGTTCTTGTATCAAAAGGATAAAAACAAAAAAAACCTACCTTAACATCGTATATTGATGGGAAGTAGAGTCTTAAAAGCTCAAAGAATTCACTCTCTTCACAGGGCAGGTTCTGGTCTGTCAAGAGCTTCAGTAGATAGCCAAAATCGTACCCACTGTTGAGAAAAATAAAAAATGTCACAAGGAGCCGATATCACAATGTCCAACTGATCTAATGCCCAAAGCTATGTGATATTCAGAGAAATCATATATATGATTAAAATGTGATGAATAAATGAATAAGAACACTAACACATTAAAATAATTAACCCAGTTAAAGGATTAATTGCCAAAAAATTCAAATAACCTAAATTTTGGCTAAGAGGGAAGGAGGGAGGGAGGCAGGGAGGGGGATAGGGGAAGGGTGAGGGGTTGAGTGGGAGGGGAGAGGGAGAGAGGGGAAGAGAGAGAGTAGAGAGTAGAGAGTTAGAGAGTAGAGAGTAGAGAGTAGAGAGTAGAGAGTAAGGAGAGAGAGTAGAGAGTAGAGAAGTAGGAGAGTAGAGAGAGAGAGTAGAGAGAGAGAGGAGAGAGAGAGAGAGAGAGAGAGAGGAAGAGAGAGAGAGAGAGTGAGNAATTCAGGGAGGTGTTGGACATATGATCATGTATTACCTCACAACTAAATTCACAGAAATGAGGTACCACACTTCACAGAGTATAAGCTTGCAATTAGATCAATAATCTTTGACTAGGTACATTTCTGTCACAGGATCTCCCATTGGTTCATGGTGTGCTGTATCAAATACAAAACTTACAATGGTGCCCCAGAATGAGTTGGAATTCAAAGATAAAGTTTTGTGCATTCACCAGAAACTGCATCGTTTTTATTTCCAATTTCTTTCATATGTATTAATATGCAGAACATATTAGTATAATTGTACTCATAACAAAATGAAACCTTAATTGAGTCTAGTGACTTCATGCTAATGTGAACATTAAAATCATCGTGGCTAGATGCCAAGCAGGGACTTGGCCCATCTCTAGTTCTTCAGGGCAGGTTTGGTCGATCTGCCCAAGCCACGACTTCCTAAGATTCACTAAATTACTATTGATAAATAAAACAATAGTAATTTTCAATAGCTTTTAGTGCATTAAAAAACAGTTCTAACATTATTCTTAAACATACATTAAATGACTGCGAATTTTCTAGAGATAAGCATGTGCAAGGAAAATCAATCCATATCTATGAAAAACTTTATTTTTCAGTACAACTGACTAAAGCTGAAACTCAAACTTGGATCACTTTTCACTTTGTTGTGTTTTCTTTCTTGTTTTTTCTCCATACTTCACCTTGATATTAATTGTGAACTGAAGTATGGATATAAAATATCCACACTAATAAGTGAATTTGTATCATAAGTGTTCATCAGTCAAATAACTTCCTCATGACACTACAACAACAAACATAACAGTTATATAAAATATGTCTACTTTTAATGTTAGTAACTAATCCCTATGTTCTAGAGGACTGACAGAACTATAATACATGAATACTAATATCAAATGCTGTGTTGTATTTACTTTTCAGGCATCCATGTGCATATAACACTACATAAATAATTTACATTACCTCATTTGATCAATCCTTTTATGAAACTTAAACAAACAACTTCTTTTATGGCCTATATCCAATGTCGTGGTTCATAATAATAGGTGTCAAAAGTGTGAAGAAATCATAGTAGCAAGATTTACACAATTATACAAAGTATCAATTTACAACTTGCTCGAATAATGCTCATGCTGGCAAATCACTGTCTTAAATGTGTGACAAGCAAAAATATCACCTCACACATTGATCAAATACAAAAGAATGCACACAAGCTTAACCACAGCCACCATTAAATTCAAACTCCACACACCAAGCTGTATTTTGTCTAATAGCATATTAGAGCAACAAGGTACAAACTACATAATTTATGTAATTTTACTGGAGCAACAATTCTTCACAATATTTCATATACATTTCTTGGACCTTTGCTAAGTAAATTTAAGAAATTTACCACATTTCTTAATATAGAGCTTAGTTAATTTCCATACAGCTTCATTGAAGATGTTTATCTTTCTAAATATGTTCTAAATGTCTTCAATGATTAAAAAAATAATAAAGCTTTTATAATCTATCAGTAACATTTATGTATCAATTCAAGTTTTACCAAAAAAAAAACATTACTTACAATTTATCCTTTCCTATTTTTAATACTGTATAAATTCTTTACTCTCATAATAAACACATATAAATATGGTTACGATCATCAAACATGGTTTTAAAAATATCATTGTAAAAGTATAAGCATAACTGTCATGCTTCCCTGCTCAAGACAAAACATGTTGCAAGTTAAAAATCTAAGAAAATGCTTACATAATCATTGTAAAAATAGATATTTGTATCTGGCCTTCAAAATTCAAATTACTGCAACAACTATGTAAGTCATTTTACACACACAAAAAAAACAACAACATCAAGGACAATGTACATTCTTCAAACAGTACTTCAAAACATATCAATGCAAATCAAAAAGGATAAAGCAAAAGTCACTATAAAACTAAGTAATTAAAATTTCAATACAAGGTCAACCAGAATAATCTGATTTTCCTCAGAGAATACAGCTAAAGTTGAAAATCTTCTTTACATAAAGATGGGAAATAAATTTAAATTGTTTAATCTTAAATTTAAAGTGCCTTTTTTTTCTTTTTACCTTTTTCAAGATATTTCCAACCAACCTCACAAAAACAAAATTGCTGTCAATACTACTTTTCCAGTTTCAGCATTCTATAGATTAAATAATCTATACTCATACTATTCAATAAAGGATCTCCACACAAACATATGAATAAAGTTTGTCATTTGATAACAAAAATCTTGTTTTCTTACAGGCCTACAATATAGGACTTAAAATCCTGGATATTGGATATTGGGCTCTCTCAGCATGCTATTCATGGCTAATCTAGGCTTTTGGATTTCCCTCTTCAAACAGAGAAAGAAGGGGAGAAGGGAGGCACTTTTCCCACAGCCAATGTTTGGTGTTTAATCAGATTCCCATGTTCTTCTCTTGTCTGCATCTTCACCCCAAATAGTGATGCCTGGGGAAACTCCTGCCATTTGATTGGAAAATCAGGCCACAAGCTATAGCCACAGTGTCTCAACAACCAGGGACAAGAATTTTAAGTCCTGTGAGATAATCCTTATAGACAGAAACAAAAAAGAAATAACCTGGTACCTAAAATAGAAGTACTTGTGATACATAAGTCCTGAAGCATTTATTCAGATGAGATCATTCACACAACTACACATAGCACCTAATTCATATTTGAACATAAATTTGCAGGCTTGACAAATGTCACTAAAGTTGATGCTTTACATTTATAAAAGCATAAAAGAAGTTCAAGATTAAAGTGTGAAATAATAATCAAAATTATGAACTTATTTTACCCCTGAAACCTACTGATACTGCATACCGCAAAGTCCTAAATATATAAAATAAGTGCCCATAGGATGGAAAAATAAGGGACAGCCAAGAAAAATTGTATTAACAAATGGAAAGAAATATGATAAAAAAATGTGCTTACCTAATTCAGACAGTCAGTAAGATCTGTAACACAGTAACAGTCTACTGCCTTTATTTTAAGAAAAATCATGAGGCAAGCAAAAGAAGATGATTGTGGCAAAAGACTAACATTTTCTGGAAGAGGAAAGAAGAGAGAGAAGAAAATTTTTCCTAAATGCTTGAGCATTCCATCACATGTAAAATAAGGTCTATTTTTCTTATTAAGTACTTATAAGGCAGTCATAATATTAAGGAAAGTACATCACTGAAGTACAAGCTGACAAGACAAGACAGTCCCTCTCAAAATATGGTGTTGAAAATTGTTCTACAGTAAACATGGGCATTTTCATGACATCATTTCAACCTGACTGATATATACATGCATACATACAGACATATATATATATATAATATATATATATATATATATATATATATATATATATATATATATATATATATATATATATATATAGGGGCCATACCATTCCTACTTCTAAGGCCATTATTATCACATTTGTGCAAAAAATAAGGTGTTGATTTTAGGTAGGAATAATTCATTGATGAAAAAATACGAGGACTACTGATAAAAGTAAGATGTCTCAACTAACAACTATCAATGGAAATCATCAACCTTCCTTTTTAAAAGTATCCATAAAGGTTCACAAATCAGTTAAAGAAAAAACAATAGCCCTGAGTTATAGTATTATCTACGGATCTAAGAGAACAAGCTTCATTCGCCAATGCTTAATTCCATGCTGCTAGACTGCTATACATGTCATGGCAATTCCAATGGGTACAAGGGGATACCCCCTTTGTTGCTAGGTGGAAATGTAGAGGCCACCATATATATGATAAAGGATACACAATGTAAATGTGTTTAAGGGCAGAATTAAAGAATTAATCTCCATTACCATACCCACACTAAGATTTACCCTTTATGAGAGACTGTTACAGAGGTACAAAAAAAAAAAAAAAAAAAAAAAAAAAAAAAAAAAAAAAAAAAAAAAAAAAAAAAAAAAAAAAAATGCAGGGTACCAAAAATTAAGCAACCTACATATAAAATTATAATATAAAAAATAAATTACATATAAAATAAGGCCATTACAATATTTGTGTGATCTATCATTATCACTATTTCCCTTTTCCTTTACATTTACACTCATATTCTATAAACTGGCTCACACTACTGACCATAACTCAAACATGCCCAAGTGCCTTTTCTTCCCTACTAACGTTTCTGCATTCAGGCTATTACCTTTTAAGTACACCAGGAATAAAAATGTCATCTAATATTCTAAATCATTGGTAAAACAACTTTAAAATATATTTTTCACTTTTATTTATCTATTTTTTTTTATTATCATTATTTCATTTGTTTGGTTTTCTTATGCCTCAGCCATTATTCACTCTTTTGTAAGGGACTACCAAAATCATATACAAGGGACAATAAACTTTTTATCTCAGTTACAAATTAAAAACATCTTTGCAAACAATGGTAGCCACCTTTCCTGCAGAGTGAAGTGCTTTGTGCTATAACTTGTATTTCTCCTTCAGGTGTGAGCAGAAGTTGATGTACTGTCCATCAGCGAGCTTTTGTTTGACCTTCTTCTGTGGTTCGTCAAATAGCTGCACACCTTCCAATCCTTCATCCTCAAGCTTGTCCCCAATTTCCACGCTCTTTCCCCCCGTTCCCACCTCCTTGTCAGCCCCAACCTGCAAAATAATTCCCTGGTGAGCAGCATCCTGCAAAAACAAATGGACAGCAAGTCAACACATCTCTCATTGCTGGTTTTGGTCACTTGGAATGGAAAACTAAAAGAGAGAGAGAGAAAAACAACAAAATAATAATACAAATAAATGGTACATGAATCGGGCTACATCATTCACCCATGCCATTAAAACACTATGTAACTAGTAATGTTAACCCACTGGTGCCATACATGCACTGTCCACTGTACATTTTTGTGAATTTTGATTACAAATAAATGGCACCAAGGAGTCAACTAGTTGTCCCTAAATGACCTCACTTAATTTCCCTATTCCTGGAATTTTCTTTAATCCATTCAGTATCAATACTGATATGATTACCATTACTAATATATATTTTTTTGTAAACTTTCCAAAAATCGAGAAAAGGATAGAGGTGAGATGGGTAGGACTAGTAAATAACTCGGACTATGCTCTTTGTGGAGCCATCTATCTGTAAGAAGAAGAAGAAAATCAAAACTGAAATCACAGTGACCATAGCATATATGTACATGCATTAATGGGTCAACTAAGTAATAAGCTGTGCAATGACATGAGAGGAAATCGGGCAGGCCCAACACGTCTTTCAAAAATATGGTTGCTAGTCTATTATCAATGACACACAAAAAAACAAGAAAAGAACTTCTAAAACCCACAATATCACATTACACTCTTATTTGACATAGTATTGACTTTGTGAAAACTAACAGCGTGCAAAACCAAACAAGATGATGGATCACGATAAAATTTGCAAAGCAATAAGTTATACATCAACTAGACTACTATTCTAATTTACATATCCAATCCATATTTTGAACATTAAAAGTAACGAAATGCAAGCATATATGCGTGTGTGTGTGTGTGTGTGTGTGTGTGTGTGTGTGTGTGTGTGTGTGTGTGTGTGTGTGTGTGTGTGTGTGTGTGTGTGTGTGTGTGTGTGTGTGTGTGTGTGTGTGTGGTGCGTGTGCGTGTGCGTGTGTATATATATATATATATATATATATATATATATATATATATATATATAATATATATATATATATATATATATATATTTTTTTTTTTTTTTTTTTTTTTTTTAATACAAAAAAATCCTAAGGCTTTTTTAGTCTTATGCCATATTTGTCATCCCTATATAAACCTTTCTGATGAAAATCATAGCAAAATGAAGAACTACTGATAAATAAATAAATAAATGTCACCTCTTCCACAAGATTTACTGGTTTCACTTTTTAAAAGACAAATGGTATATACATATCATTTATCAGCAAATATTTGAGCTACATACATAACAGTTTATGACTGCCATGTGAGGTGAAAGCGGAATATATCTACAAAGTCAAATAAGATAAATATTAAAACAACAAAATCTATTATTACTGATGTTACTAATCATACTTTTAATATCATTCGCCTCCTCCCCCCTTAAAAAATATAAATGAAGAGAAAAAATGCATTAAACAAATAATAGAAATACTAGATCCTCTTCAATCAAAAGAAAAGCAGAAACCACTGGAAAAGCCAAATTGATAGAACAATAAACTTCACCTATAATCACATCTACATTCTATATTCTGCTTTAGCATAGTATAGATCCTGCTCAAAACATGTATACTCTAAGTAACTTAATTATGCAAAGGAAAAAAATTAGCACAAGCTACTGTGCTCAAAACCAGCTTGGAGATGCAATGAGTTTGTGCTAGAAATAAAGTACATAATAAAGTGACAAAGTCCATACTGTAGTTTGTCCCACATAGACACTGCATGCCATAGGATGTAAGATTTTTTTTGGGGGGGGAAAAATTCTATTGTATTGGAAACTTATTCAAAGAATTTTGACTCTCACATAATATCAGCTTCCATATGATTTGCTTATTTCCTTCAGATTTGTTGTTTATACAAAGTCAATTTTATTGAACCACAGATTTGTTGTTTATACAAAGTCAATTTTATTGAACCACAGATTTGTTGTTTATACAAAGTCAATTTTATTGAACCAAAGTGGTTGTTACAACACATCCATTCACTACTGAATCTTGTGGCATGGTGAGGCTACAGACTTATGGTAAGTACATTATTAATGTCATGGAGTTCAAAGTATATCAGGAAAAGAAAATCGGCATTGCAGAATTTTTGGCATTTACTGGTCTTGCCCAAAAGAAACTTGCATGTCACAGGATGCAAGTGTTGTATGTGGTGAAAAATACAGTAAGTGAAAAACAGAAGCAAATATAAAGCAAACTCCCTTGTAATAATATCATGTAGTCCCAAAACCTTTGGAAAATGGGCCAATCCTGAGGAAAAATTCATGTCAGATTATAGGATTAACATAAACACACTGGATAATAATTGAATATGTTATGAAAATCCTAAATATCTGTAAACAACAGCACATAAAGAAACTGCAAACAATGTAAGTGAAACAATCAAATCAAGCGATGTAAAGCAAGATATAAAGCAGAAGATGAAAATGCTGATGCTTCAGATATGAAATAGTAATAAGGTGTATGATGTTGAAAGGAGATTAGATGCAATGGAAATATAAGAAAGAAAAATAATACATACTCTGTACTGAATGCTGCATGTGATGTATGGCACACTGTCAAACTCAAAACCCTTTGCAGGCCAATTTTCCCTTTAGCTACAATCGTGAGGGCCAACAAAGGTTTACGTTACTGAAACTGGTATTATGTACTTATACATACTGTTAATTTTACTTATCAGATTCTAAAAAGTGATACTGATGGTAACAAATTGTACATGTTATTTTCCTTTCTGGCAATTACAATCTTACAGGTTAAGGGAACCGTCTGGTCATTTTTCGGCAAAAATCTTCGGATTTGTCGATTTTGAGTTAAATGCATTTTCAATGAGTTTCTGACTGCCCAAGTCTCCCCTGAAATTTTGAAGTCCCCCCTGCAATTTCTAAGGTGGTTGCTGCCACTTAAGATATACCACGAAAATATTGTGATTTTTCACATTACCTTCGAAAATTGGAAATTGTGACGTAACAAATAGACAGAAAAAAAAAAGAGTATCTTTAGAAAGCACATAAAATTCTACAAAACATGAGACCAACATGCATTTTTTATGAAAAAAAAGAAAAAAAGGAAAAAGAAAAAAAATGGAAACCAAATGTTTTTTTTTTTTTTTTTTTTTTTTTTTTAAATAAAATTCACGAAAAATGATATGCTGTTTTTAGAAAAACTTTTTTTTTTTTTTGTTTGCATCATATTTCGTCAGTTTCATCCTTCAGCAAAATGTCTTGAACATAATACCCCCCCCCCCCAAAAAAAAATATATATATTGGGGGTACTTTTAGCCTATGCGAGTTACCCGCTCGAAGATGTATTTTTTACCTATATTCATCATTCGGTCAAAAGACTTTCTACTCAATATTTTCGGAAAATCTCTCAAAATACAAAAAAAAAAAAAAACAATACACATACACAAAAGGTCATCAAATACACGGTACTGATCTGTATGTACATTCATATACGTTTATATATATATATATATATATATATATATATATATATATATATATATATATATATATATATATATATATATATATATATATATGCACGTATACACAGATCAGTACTGTGTATTTGATGACCTTATAAAATAATATATATAAACAAAAGATCATCAAATACATGGTACTGATCTGTATCTGCATGAGAGCCTTCAGCAGGACTGGGCGCGCCATCCGTGGTACGAGCGGGGCGGGGCGCGCATTTTGTGTGCGAGTGGGAGCAGGGCAGGGAGTGCCACCCGTGGCGCGCAATCTTTCTTTCTTTCTTTATTACTATTATTTTTTATTATTATTATTATTTGGGCAGGCAAAGCAAGAGCAAGGAACAGGCAGGCGAGAGCAAAACCGTGCGTCCCCTCCACCACAACGAACATGAATGGTACTTCGGTCTTTGCCCGTCTCGACAACACCTCGGTTGCCAAGAATAATTTAGCCTAACACACGTCCCCCCCCCTCCCCCGCCAGCACTAAACTCTGACGAATATGATAATTGATATATATATCGATATTTTTCTTGTGATTTTACATACAGATACAACTATTGCACAAATACAACTATATAGAATGTATTAGAAAGATGGATATGTCACTGTATATATACTGCCATGAAGGAGGCTTCAGGCCAGTTTTATATATTGTAAATCCCCATTATAGCTCATTATAAAGGGAAATGATACATGATTATATTATATGGAAGTATTTCACATACCATTTGTTATCCATACTGTAAAAAATAAAAAATGAACATATACCGACATTTTGATATGATACCGGTATAACTTACGAAAGCTCTGGCATACGCAATTTTGGTCCAATAAAAACATTTTATGGCTCATTTTGTGGCTTAATAAACAATCTTGTGCTTGTTGCATTTACTTTTTGCAATATTTTCAATTGCTTCTTATAAAAAGTGACATATATAAAAAATAGGCCTACTTGGACTGTTCAAACAGTCATCTTTGTAATCTATTCACAAAAAAAAAAAAAAAAAAAAAAAAAAAAAAAAAAAAAAAAAAAAAAAGTCGACTTTTAAAATTTGGCTTCCGTATATTATAGTTGAAGGATTGTGCTATTCAGATATGAAATCAGAATGGCTGTATGATTTTGGGGGGATTTTTTAGAAAATTTAAAAAATGGTCAATGTAGGCCTATAGACACCACAAATCACTGTGACCCTACTATAACAAATGTTGTGTAGTGAGATACTATTACTTGCTAGGAATTTCCACAATACTTCGCAATGAAGGTAAATCATAGGGGACTATGTTATAGGAAGATTATTCTAATACCTAATTTTGTTAATACCAAAACAGCTATGAAAATGTACGAAAACCCAAAAATGCCAATATATCGGAACACTACCTTTGTAGTCTTCGTCAATGATTTTAGACACAATTTTAGTCCGAAAAAAAAAATGTTTTATGGCTCATTTTGTAGCTGAATAAAAAATCTAGTGCATGTTGCATTTAGTTTTTACATTTTTTTTCTGTTTTTCTTGTAAAGATGACATTTATGAAAAAAAAAAAAAAAAAAAAAAAAAATCTCAGTCGGTTATTTCAAAATCGAAATCGAAAAAAAGTGCTTGCAACAAGCACGAGATTTAGGGAAAAGCCTGTGTATTTTTTCCTGGATCAGAAATCATTGACGCAAAATTTCAAAAAAGGGGGACTTCATTTTTTTTTGTCGTTTTTTTTTTTTTTTTTTTACAATAATTCAAAAACTGTTCGGGCAATTTTGAAAAAAAAAAAAAAAAAAAAAAAAAAAAAAAAAAATCTCACTAGGGTCTAAATAAAAGGGTGTGTTTCATCAAAATTGGCAAGAAAAATCGAAAAATCGAAAAAATTACCAGACGGTCCCCTTAATAATTATTCATGTCACCTCATAGGCCACTTATGATCATCCCAGGCGACACAATTAGCCCACATACCATGAGTATGACACCCCTGGGCTATTTCATTCGTTACGAAAACACAATAATAGAAAAAACTTGAAGAGTGTGAGCGATAACCTTGAAAAACAAAGGACTTGCCTAATTAATAATGTAAAATGGCTGACTGTAAGCAAATATACCACGGGCCGCACATAGGAGTGCAGCAGTTGTAGCCTGCATGTTTGACACTCTTGATGTATGGAGAAAGACAAGACAGAAATGTAAGAAAAAATACTCATACACTAGAATGCAATAAGGCATATCATGATACTGTAAGATGAAACAAGGAAAGAGAGAGAGAAAGCTAGTAAGCATATCAGAGGGAAAATGCTAAAAAAAATAATTGTTATGGCAGCCAATGCCCATATGATTTCAAACCAAAGGAAGATGTACTTCAAGTGAAGCTCCACTGTCTTAAATTTAATAATAGGTGAAAGGACTTGTATGCTCATAATGCAGGTATAATCTTATGCTTTATACTGCTTCAAAGTTATCGAAAGACTAACTTGAACTAAAGTCTTACTATGTATTGGAATTCATGGAGCTGCAGTTTGCTTTTTGACTTCCATAGGCTTGAAACAAAACAAGTCACCAAGAGCCTAAATGTGTTTTTTTTTTTGTATTATATGATTTAATTTCTACTAATTAACATATCCAAAATAATTCCAAGCATGT